GAAGACAGAAGTTTTCTATCAACCAGCACCTCAGGAAGTCTTCCATCATCCCCATATCACCATTGGCGAATCAGAGCTCAAATCAGTCCAGCAGTTTAATTACCTAGGTAGCCTCATCTCCTCGGATGGTAAGATTGATGGAGAGATAGACAACAGGTTAGCAAAGGCATATAGAGCTTTCAGAAAACTCCATAAAAGAATCTGGCATAATAAACACCTGAAGAAAAGTACAAAGATCAGTGTTTACAGAGCCATTGTGCTGTCTACTCTTTTATATGGGTCCGAATCATGGGTCATTTACTGCCACCACCTGCATCTCCTAGAACGCTTCCATCAACACTGCCTCCGTACAATCCTAAACATCCACTGGTCAGATTATGTGACCAATACGTCTGTTCTAGAACAAGCAGCAGTCACAAGTATTGAGGCCATGTTGCTGAGAACACAGCTGCGCTGGGCAGGGCACGTCTCAAGGATGAAGGACCACCGCCTCCCTAAGATCTTGCTTTATGGTGAACTTGCCACCGGCTGCCACATGAGAGGAGCCCCAAAGAGAAGATACAAGGACTCCCTGAAACAACATCTCAGCCTTCACTATATTGATCTTCATAACTGGTCTACTCTGGCCTCCAATCGGGAGGTCTGGAGACACACCATCTATAACGCTGCTGCTTCTTTGAGAACGCACGCAGGATCACGCTTGAGGAGAAAAGACAATGCAGAAAGAATCGTGTCTTGCTGATACCATCCAAGGAGTCCTTCTGTTGTACCTTTTGCAACTGGACTTGTCTATCTCATATTGGCCTCTTTAGCCACCAGTGCGCTTGTAGCAAATGTGGGTAGAGCCCTTCCCAAATCTTTGTTCGTGAAGCCCAGCCATGATGATGATGATATTATGTTTTTCAGTGAGAAAAGGTTTTTACAGTGGCAAAGACGCCTCTCCCAGATCATGTTTTGATTACATGTCATTATAAACTTAGGTAATTATAATTATTTGAAATTAATGCAAATGTATATTTTTCAATGTTTCAGTTTTGTGTTTACCCTAGCCCTCCAGCCCATCTTGTTGTAGGTTGCTAGAACAGATTGCTGCAAATATTTTTTTCGTAGCCTTTTAGGGTTTGCTGCTTTATATCAAGCAGCACCTTTCAGTCAAATGCATAAAGAAGTTAGGACTAACAATTACAGGTTTTAGGCCATTTAGATATTAAAATATTTGAAAAAATTAAATGAGTTCTCAAACAGTATTATCTTTCTTTTTAGGTTATAAAGTATTTTGAAAAAAGGTATCACTTTTCACAGAACAGATATCGAAAGTTCTAGTTTCCAAAGTGAATTACAAAACAAAAATATAATTTTGAAGTTTGTACCAAAATAAGCCATTTCACCTCATAGAACATATCTGTCAATATTATAAATATTGAGTGATCTTTGTTTCAAATGGAATTTTTACAAGGATTATGCAAATAAATAAATTTTACATTCATGTTTATTATGAAAAGACATATCCTGTTCAGGGACAATGCTATTTGTAAATTCCTTCTCTTTTGCCCAGCCTCCCAACTGCCTTGGGAATTGATGCTCACTATTTTCATCTTCTATTGACTGTAAAGGAGTTACTCCCAAGTTACAGAAACATAAATAAAATGAATGCTGTGCTTTGGTCTCTCACCTTGGTGCTCAAGGAAAGGAGAAGAATATAGAAAACCTCCCAGCCCTGGGAAGGTGCTGTTCACATGCTGCATGTCAACTCAAGCCTTAGAAAGAGGTGTTTGCTTTTATTCAACAAGGCACTATTGTCCAGAGCTGCTAGCAATGAGGCAGGATGCTGAACCACCACATAGGGATGATTCTGCCTCTCCTTGCAGGGGTACTTCACACAGAGAGCCTAGAGGAGCTCAGCAGGAACCCCTTAGCCTGCTACCTTTCAGCTGGTTATGTGAAGAAGCAGGCTCCCGGTCTGCAGCATGCTCCAGGTATGCTCCCCTCCCAGTCTGATTTGAGGTTCCCTTGCACCCTGCTGAGCTCAGTGATGTGCTGCTGCAGGAGAAGTCTCTGCTGCTTGGCCATGGCAAGGTTACAGAGGGAGTGATGACCCAGGAGCCTCTGCCTGTCCCCAGAGAGAAAAACCATTCCTTTCTGCAAACCAGAGTCTCTGCCTCTCAGATGGGTGGGATTCTATTCTCTCTCAGATAAGGCAGATGCTTCTGGTTCCTTGATTTTGCTGAGTTTGGCATATGTGGCCAAAATCTCACCCATCTGCCTCAACCTGATGGCAGGTGTGGGGCTACACAAAAGAAAGCTGTAGCACTTAACCGAAAAAAGTTGAAGTTAAGTAACAATTGTATTTTCTTCAGATAAGCAGAAAAAAAAAATCTTTTTTCACTCACCTTTTGGGAATGAGGTGCTCAAATGCAAAATTATATATTTCTGTGATGGAAGATTGCAGGAATACCTGAGGAAGATCTTATTGATGTGACTGCAAAATTAGCACTTCCAAATCCCATCCGTTGCAGAAGGAGAAACCATTCTCCTTTCAGAAGAGATTCAATATTTAGTGATCACCAAGGCATCTTTGTTGAAAGTGAAGTTTAAAAATGGAGTGTTAGGACTTAAAAGAAAGTGAAGAAAATGAAAGTACAGAGCCAGTGATTTAGTTCAGGTACACAACACCTTTACTTCTGATAGCATCCTTATTTCTTTCATTCCTGAAATGCATTTTTATAGTGTGTTTATAAGAGTGTGTGTGGACATTTATGCGTGATACTGATCAAGGCATACACTATAAATGGATTTACTGAGGATTTACAATCGGTGTGCTCAGATTTTGTTTTCCTTCTTCTTTAGGACCTTAGTCCTATGCAAGAAACAGCAGCAATGGTTTAAGAAGCAGTTGTAGTACATAGGTCTGTAGTACATAGGTTTTCCAGCACTTTACCTGTCCTAGTATCACATGGACAAGCAAATATAGCTGATAAGGTCATAATCTCTCATACCTTCTGATAATTGTGACTTCATGTGTAGTAGTGTAAACCAGTGGTTATTACTCAAAAAATGCTTGGGATTATTTGCTAGAGGTTTGTGGTTGGTAGTTTACCTGTGGTGAGTAACTTTGAATAAAATCATTACTTAACATGAAATTTACATGTCAGTCAAAATGACATGTAAAACTAATGAGTGTAAACTAATTTGTGTGTGTGTGTATAGCTACAATTTTTCCACTTAACTTGATCACCTCCAACAGTTAAAAAAAGTCAGATAATCCTGTTGGGGAAGCTGTATTTTATAGTGAAGCAAACAGTAGATCAAAAGAATCTCCAGGGGCAAAAACATTGCAAAACATCTTCTGTAAAGCTACATATAAGACTACATTTATTTTGTGGAAAGCTCTAATCTGGATTACTGCTCTATTGTGTTTCAGAGAAATAAGATAAGAGAAGGTAAAAAATAGATAGCAATTTCAAAGAAGAATTTTTATTAGACACAAGATGGCAAAAAATAATGGATTAGCACAATATAATGTGTCTTATTAGAAGTTATCATGGAGAAATAAACTGTAAATGTATTGGACAAACAGACAAAAGTTCCATAGAAAGTTCCAAGTTCTAGACAAAAAGTCCACAGAGAAGTAGTGCAGGACTTGTGCCTCAAGCAATTCTTGGTGATGAAATGAGACTTTCCTGCAGTACAAGAACAATATAGAGCTGAAGGCTTCAGGCATATTGGTGTAAGGGAACCCCTCTCTTAATTCCCCAACAAGGGTGTCTCCATGGAGAGATAGATTAGCAGTTACACCTGTTGTAGACCTGCAACTACGAGTGACACTGATGAGCTAGAACCCTTCAAAAGTTGCTTTTTTGGTTATGTGCTCTTGGTAGAAGTGATGCAAGTACTGATACTTGCAAGGTGATACAGAGCCAAGTACCTGACCAGTCCAGCAGCTGGGATGGTTAGTCTCCTAGGAAGGGGAAAGGTTGGAGCTTTCTATAATGATCAAAATGTGTGATATTCTCTGCAACTACTTATCTTTTCAAAATGGCTTTATTTCTCTCTAAACCACTCTACATCTTTCTTCCAAGTGCAGTTTTGCAAATACATTGTCCAGAATTCCCTTCTCTGATCTTAATTATCCATCAACCAGCTTCCCTCTTATTAATTAGTACTCAAATTTTAGCAGCAGCTTGAACCGGGTCACTGTTCACACGTTGAAACAACAGATGCAAGGGGGTTTGTGAGTGACAGGATAAAAATTAGGCACCATCTTGGCATGAAGTTTGAGAAAGATGTTAAGAAACCTCTCTGCATTTCATATTGGAATCTATTCCACATCTCTGAGTACTGTATATACTGTACAAATGCTTCGGTTTAAGTCTGCCAACATTGCCTTTCCAATTTGTCAATCCTGAAATTCTTTTCGGTAAGTGCTACAAATGTACAACTCATCATTGTTATTATGTTCCATTAGAACATTTGCCAGTTTTGAATTCTGTCAGATATACGCGATAGCATTTGATGAATCACTGCTGAAATGATCTACTACAAACAACATCCAATTTTTTGGAGTGCTTTCTACCAGTATTGATAAGTATCTGGGGTTTAAATGCAATGCTGCTTCTATACTTAGTCATATTGCTTATTGCAAACATTTGGGATGAGTTGCTATTGACTACTTAATTAATTGTCTTGGCTCATACTTTTATCTGTCAGTCAAGGATTCAGTAGTCTACTTTCACAATGATATTTTATAAGAGAAAAGGTGGCATATTCAGTTGCATGACTGATTTGGTAGCCTGTTTTCAACAACGAGGAGCTACAACTACAGCAAACCTTCATTTGTACTTGAGGCTTGCATTTCTTTCTTTTGTAGGGTGTGTTCAGCACCTAGGTTGCTGCAGCAGACAGGTCAAGACTTTGTAAACATATGCACAAACTCTCGTGAGCAAGTCATCGATCCAGAAAATGTCCTGTAGAGCAAAATCCGCAAAGCATGATGCCTTACCTTGTATACATAACTCCTCAGATACAGCCTTGTTTAAGTCTTGGGGGAGGGAGAGAGGCAAAAAGTTAAAAAAAAAATGAGGAAGGTACAGTTTTGGTAAAACTGGGATATCCCTGTGTTTTACTTTTCAGTAGAGGTGAAAATATTTAAACTAAAAAGTAACAGGATTTTTGGAAGGATTTCAATAAATCACATAATCTTCATAATAAAAATTTAGTTGAATAGTAAGCAGTTAGAGTCTTGTAAGATCTACATAAAGATTCAGTCATTAAAGGGTTATATTCTACAATATATTCCAAAGGGAGTGTTTTCACCTGGTTGTACTCATAATTACACAGTCAATACATTTTTTGTCACTAAGGAGGGTTCTCTTATTTTTTAGCTGACCATTGACTCATTTATATTCATTTCCCTTCCCTGTGGACTAGAAAAGACCTTAGACTTACGATGTTAATTCACTGTGTTACCTGTGCACCTAGGAAATCCAGTGAAGGACCAGTCTCCCGAACGGTGAGGCCCAGCCCATGAACATGTGAAAAGATGGACTCTGACCCAAAAGACTTACTACCTGAATTTAAGGCAGCATCAGTGCAAGAACATAAGAAGATGACAGTCAAGGGAATCAGCTTCGTTTTCTGTAACAGAGAGGGAAGAAGCAATCAAGAGATTAATAAGAATCTCTTTTCACAGTTCTTTTAGAGAGAGATCTTAGAGAGGTAGGAGAACTATGAGAGGTTCAAGAGGTCAAGAAAGATGGCATTTTAAGAGCACTATCAACTGTGCTGAGAGAGCCTCAGCTCGTACAGAATAAAGACAGACTGAAAAGTAAAATACAGAGGCTAAAACTGCACCATTTTGTAGTGAATGTGTAGTGAGTAACTCAGTACTTTTTGAAGCATGTTAGTGCTAACAAGTGTAAAAAAATAACAAGATAGCAGCCACATCCAGAAAACTCTGATTTTTCCTTAATATTGATTATGGAAACATTTAATAACTGTGCTTGTTTTAAATTCCAGTGTTTTATTAGGACAGCTGAAAATTCAGCAAAAAGAGATATATATTTACTTAGATGTTGAGGAAATTAAAGATCTTTTTAGAAAATTCAATTTCCTTCTGCCCATTCTTTACTTAAAACAATGAAGTAAAATTCTATCTTAAATCTCTAAGCTGTCCTATTACTCTTCCTGTCATTCAGTCTTCCTAACACCCATTATTGTGTTATTCTAAATATTAAGCCTTCTATGAGCAATCTAATTTCTTCCACCATTATATTACCTCTTTTCTGGGAACAAAACTATTTAGTTTTCTGCATTATAGAAGAAATTACTTCAGTTTTAAAGGTCTTGAACTGACATAAATAAATTTGCCATATATCCGTGGTGCAATTCAGATCAGAATTGGGAACATATCTTCTGAAAACCACTTTTTCCACCAGCCTCAAGCTTGAACCGCTTTTCAAGCCCTGTCCAGCAATGAGTATGAAATAGAAATATAGATTGTAAAGGAAATGTCTCCAGAGAAACAATAAAACATCTCCTGTATAGCTACCTTAACTATTAAAATACACCACTGGTTTCTCCTAATAGTTCTAACAGATTTAAAAGCTCCTACCTCCTGCAATTCAACTTTGAGAAATTTCCCTTCAACAATCAAATTATACCTCCTTTTGCCTTTATAAACAAGGAGGTATAATTTTCACTCCCATGCCTGGGTGTAACTTAGTCAATGCTGTGCACTCGTCCAAATCACATTTTAAGTGATGTAGCTTGTTGAAATAAGACAGAAAATTAGGAGTTCTTACTCACTGGTGAAGTATCTCAAGGCATCCCCTGAAGCTCCTTGCCAGGTTTTCTTCTTTCTGCAAGCCTCTTACTGGCTACAGCTCTCTCATTGATAAATGGCATGTTTAAAACAGGTACAGACTGTGCAGTCACCTAACAGCCTATCTGTCCACAATCCCATTCAATTGATGTTCCATCTCTCAGTTAAATACTTCTGACATTTACTCGCAGTTTTACCTTCTGCTATTTGTTTTCTCCTAATTCCTTGAACCTTATTCCTTGAGCTGGGAACACAGCTGCACTGGGCAGGGCACGTCTCAAGGATGAAGGACCACCACCTCCCTAAGATCTTGCTTTATGGTGAACTTGCCACCGGCTGCCGCAAGAGAGGAGCCCCGAAGAGAAGATACAAGGACTCCCTGAAACAACACCTCAGCCTTGGCCATATTGATCAACATAACTGGTCTACTCTGGCCTCCAATCGGGAGGTCTGGAGACACACTATCTATAACGCTGCTGATGCTTTTGAGAAAGCACACAGGATCACTCTTGAGAAAAGACAACGCAGAAAGAATTGTGCCTTGCAGAATATACCACCTAAGGAGTCTTTCTGCTGTGCCTTTTGCAACCGGACGTGCCTATCTTGTATTGGCCTTTTTAGCCAGCAATGCGCTTGTAACAAACGTGGGTAGAGCCCTCCCCAAATCTTTGTTCGCGAAGCCTAACCATGAAAAAAAATTAATTCCTTGAACCATCTTTTACCTAATTCTCCTTTTCCCTCAATTTTTCCTCATATTTTCAGGTCTGCTGCCCAATAGCCTGCTGCTCACTACTGTGGGTGAGATAAGTTATGACACAACAGTAAGTCAGAAGGTAGGTGTGATGTCATCAGTAAGGTTAGCAATAAAGGCAGCCTTGGAAATCGGAGTAACTGGGTCCTGACTCTGCCTCCAGGTCTGATCTAATCCAAAATGATAGGTCATTCCCTGGGACCTTTGCATCAGGCAGAGATACCTGACTGTCAGTTTTGATTTCGTGCACTTTCACTCAGCATGTGCTACGCTCTCTTTCTTCCTCTAGCTTTCTTCCTTTGTTAACCAAGACAGCCAGTGTTGTTTCAAATCTGCAGAGGCAAATGCACTTTCCATCTGTTTATAATTATGGCAGGGGAAGAAGAGCTATATTAGATGCAACAAGTGCAATGTGAAACGTAGCAGAGGTGTAGTTAAGAGTGCAGCATTTTTGGTAAACAAATATTACTTATATCTAAAGTATCATCTTTCCCTGCCTTGCATAAGCTGTCAGCACTGTAAATATTTGACATAGCAGCTCAAATTGGTATTTTGAAAAAGGTCTTAATATCCTTCTGCAGCTGAGTTTTTGGACCTGTCTGCCTGTTTAGCTTTTGCAAGAAAACCTCACAGCCTGAAAACACACCTTAAGCTTACAAAAGACCACTTATACCATTCTGGTGACAGTATGACACACAGCAGTTCCCCCCCAAAGTGTGAAAAGATCACACACTTCACCAATACAAGGGCTTCAAAACTTTCAAGCACAGATAAAAGCATGAAAAAAAATACTCTTTGAGCTAGGTGAAGGAATGATCAAAGTTCCCTGAACACAGAAATGGTTCTGTCATAACCTCAATCTCAGACTGAAAAGATCTGAAGGTAACAATCACCTGCATCTGCACACAGGTTTACATGGTATGTTCCATACAAATATGGTATCTTCAAAGTACATTGAGCAAGAAGGCAGAGCATTTGAGAACAAGAAGATGACAATATAATGGAATCATTGTTGTAAATCAGCAGAAGATATAGCTTCTATTAAATAATTCGTGCAATAATTAAATTAGTTGAAGAAGTAAAGTTGTCTCCAGTAGCTTATCAAACAGACTGTAATCAAATAACCTTATCTTGCCAAAATGTGACCACAATTTAAAATTCCGCTGAAGGTAATATGTAGAAGATGCCTGGGAAAAATAAAAGAACCCAAACAATTACCACAAGGCTAATAATTTTTTTTTCCTGTATGGTAATGAAGATCAACTACAGGTCTAAAACCATCTAGGAAAGATTTCTATTGGAAGAAGCTTTGGATCTCATCCCCCCAGGAGGAACCAACACCCTATGAAGGATAAAGAGAGGAATGAGACGTTGCCTTCTAAAATCCAAATCTGTTGCTAAAATGTGAAAAAACAAAATGCTCTGTCAATTTTATGACCCAAAAGAAAGGAAAAAAGAAATCTGAAAGATAAGTTAATGTGCCCAATAATTAATTAGTTGATTGGTGGTGTCTGACTGTCATTGAAGCTAATGTTTTTCTAAAAACATGCTCTATAAACAGACCAGTTTGCAATAAAAATAAACCTTCATGTTCCCTTTGGTTAATCTTTAAAAATATTAATTTTTCACTATAGTGCAGTATTTCACTGAAAAAAATCTCAGGTGGAAAAAAAGTTCATAGTGCTTGACTCAGATTAATATTCATCAAGTTTATCAGTTATGCAACCTTGGTTGTTCACGCAGCATTAAGCTGGACACCAGCGACATTCTAAAGGATTTCCAAAGCTTTCATAGACTGTCCAGAAGTTTAAAAAAGCTGTTTTTCTCTCTTTAATTGCACTTAATATCCTCTAAGATATTAAACTGTGAAGGCTCAGAGTAGATTGTATGCTAATTGCAGTACAGTTGCAGTAGCAAAATGTGATGCAGAAGAGTGATATATAGATGATTAAGGTCCACAGACATTTTTTCTGTTTACAGTCTATTTCTTTCAGAGACGAATACAAAACCCAGGCATTTAGTGTAATAGACGGGACAAATAATCTTCCCTATCTTCAAATGCCAAAGACCAAAATAACAACAAAAAATCCTCATAAAACTTGGATTGGTTTGAAAGATGCCTAATGTGTTGAGTATTTTCCATCTGAAAATTTATTGCACTATATTTCCTTTTACACCGCTTGTATTCAGCACTGCAGTGATGTTACTTTAAAGAATGCAAGGCTTGTAGCAAAAACAGCCCATCTTCAGCAGTCGGGAAACAGGGAGCAGTCTGTCTCTACTTCAGGAAAGAAAGGCACAGGGAGAATTAACTGAATTTAACTGAATTCTATTATTAGCTGGTTTATCACAGAGAAGTTATTGGCAATTCCTGACCTGTAAGACACAAATAGAACAGGGTAATTTATTTATATTTTGGAAAAATTAATTTATTATTTTTCTGGGTCTGAGCCATGCACAAATGAGAGTCTTGTTAAATTAATAGTTTCTACCAAAAGCAATCAAAAAACTCAAATTCCTATGTCAGAAATGCTCATCTTGAACACTTCTTAAAGTTTTAAAACCTTTGGATTCAAGGGCTAAGAGTTACAGGTATATTTTGGTGGAAAGCAAGAAATGGAAAGGATCTTCTTACGATTAAATAAAATAATACATTGCTTTGAGGACGAGAACATGGTTGCCTCATTTCCCTCAGAGTGGTTTTGTCCAGAAGTTTTAAAGCCAGCCTTTACTGTCTTTTGAAGTCACTGACTATTTCACAAAATATTCAAAGCTGAAAACTTTGAGACAGTACCTGCAGAGAGGAAGGTCTCAGTTTAAGTCTCTTCCATCTCAAGTGTGTATCCTGAGGACATGGCTTATAAGGTCCCTGGGCTCACAGCAATACTCTGTTACAACTTGCATATCATCTCATGGCTAGGCTTCGCGAACGAAGATTTGGGAAGGCTCTATCCACATTTGCTGCAGGCACGCTGGTGGCTTATGAGGCCAATACGTGACAGACCACATCACCATTGGTCAATCAGAGCTCAAATCAGTCCAACAGTTTAATTACCTCGGTAGCCTCATCTCCTCAGATGGTAAGATTGATGGAGAGATAGACAACAGATTAGCAAAGGCATATAGTGCTTTTGGAAAACTCCATAAAAGAGTATGGCGTAATAAACACTTGAAGAAAAGCACCAAGATCAGTGTTTACAAAGCCATAGTGTTGTCGACTCTCTTATATGGATCTGAATCATGGGTCATCTACCGCCACCACCTGCGTCTCTTAGAACGCTTCCATCAACGCTGCCTCCGTACAATTCTAAACATCCACAACTTGCATATAGTATTTAGGTAAACTAATCCTTTCATTCTCCTAAAAAGTAGCAAAACCCACACGAATCATAATTGTTTTCAGATTAGATATTACGAAACATTTCTTTACCAAGAGGGTGGTCAAACTCTGGAACAGGCATGCCAGAGAAATGGTTGATGCCAGAAGCCTATCTGTATTTAGGAGGCATTTGGACAATGCCCTTAACAATAAATAATATGCTTTAACTTTTGGTCACCCCTGAAATGGTCAGGCAGTTGGAGTAGATGATCATTGTAGGGCCCTTCCATATGAAAACATTCTGTTTTATACTATTCTATTCTGTTCTGTTCTCATCCAAGATCAGGTTGTTTGATTTTCCATTTTGCTTAACTGGTTCAAAGTTAAAAATCCTTTCAAGACTGAGAAAGAATTGTTACAATTCCAGGCCCAAGTGACCTACCCTGAAGTTTTATACCTTCCTCAGTACTCAACGCTGCATCAGGGGTTTTTTGTTTTGTTTTTCTGCTAAAACCAAAAATAGCCTACAAGTGTGGAACTGCATACCTAAAATTTTAGGTCTGCATGGTAACATGGTATTGGCTTTCCCCATTGTGTGCTGGGGAAACAACCCAGATCCAGTGTCAGGTGGATATATCAACTTCCAGCATCAAAAATAAGTTTCTTCCAACATCTGTGGATTTGCAGTATTTTTGAAGATCTAAAATAAGATAACATTTGTACTCAAGCGTAAAGTTGTAGCTTACTGAAGTTAAGTACAATGGGTAAGCTTTGGCAGACATAATAAAATTTCAGTAGCACCAGTAAACTGAAAAAGCCTGAAAAATGCAAAAGAATTAAAGTCCAAATACATTTAATATAGCATAATTATAAGCAAGATTAATTTGTTCATTAAATCTTCTTTTATATTTTGCCACATTTCTATTATTGAAGAACTGCTCTCATACGTAGTTGTTT